ATAACTCTAAATCTACCCATGCACTGGTCCCCAAATTTTTACCAGAGCTCATATATGCTAAGACTAACTTACCACAAAAATTTCATAATTTTTGGAGCACAGGAACTCTAGATATAAATTAAACAAATTTGAATGCATTCAAAAGCACATTTCAAATCCCTATTTAAATCTCCAGAAATTTCTACTGTTGAAACCAAGAACATATTTTTCTTAAATACTACACTTCCTAAGGAACACAACCATATTTTTTTCACAAATTTAGGAGCTACCAAACTGAAGATACAAAATAACAAAACACACTTGAATCTGAATTTTGAACTAGCTTTCAACATCGCTGTCATTGACCGGGGACCCACCGGTCGGGGGACCCCACGCGTCGATGACACGAAAAGGGCAGCAGCGGCCAAGACAGCGTTAAGCTGCTAGAGTCTCGCCGATGGCGAGGTCGCCGGTGGTGACATCATCACACGATGATCTACGTGACCTAGCGCATCTATTGAGCCACTTGGCCAGCCCTATTGCCGACGGTAAAGACGACGGCGGCGGCAATGGCGGAGCGGCGAGCGCGGGACGACGGCGAGACGTTGGTGAAAGCTACGGTGGCTCAAACAAACGCTTCTGTGAGCATCTACGGACTACAAGGAAGCTAGTCTGCGCGCGCTCGTGGGCTGGGATGGTCTGCAGTTGGGCACGCCACGGCGACGGAGGGTGGCGGAAGAGTTCCGGAGGTTACTGCACGGCGCCGGGCTTACTAAGCTCGGTCAACAGCACGGGAGGAGGCGATGGTCGCTGGGGCACTAGTGGAGGCGTTGCTTGGGGTGGAGAAGCAAATGAGGCGAGTTGGCGTTAGCTACGGTGATTTGGCGGAGGTGCGGGCCGAGCTTCACTGTCATTGCGGCGAGGAAGACGGAGCGAAATTGGGAAATGAGGCGCTGGGTGGTCAGCTCGGTAGGCGGCGGTGATGAAGATGCCAGCGCGCAGTAGCGTCGTGGCTCTTCGTGAACAGACCGGCCGGTGATGCGCGGCCGTTTCGCTTCGCCACGCCACGCGTGTGTCTGAACCGGTCGGCCCTTGTGCGGGTCGATTCATTCATCGATGACCCGATGTTATGCCCGACAAAGGGTTTTTCCGTGACTAAAACTTCGTGACCGTGGACTTTCAAAGAAAATTTCATACATCAAAGTTGAAGCCTAATGTACCAGCTACAACTCTTGTTCAATAATCGTGTTCCAATTCTCAACGTAAACCGAGTAAAATCATGATCAAAGTCGACATCGGTACATCGTTGTTCACGACTTAGCAAAAATTTGCTAAGTGTAGAAATTGTGATTTCTCTGATTTTTAAACCCAAATTCACACATGTTAGGAGCTGAATCAGTCAAGGACCCAAAAATCAAAGTTGTTCCTTATGTCAAACACTACAACATTGCTTTAGTGAACTCCTCCATGCAAGGTCTCTAACACCTAGTTCAACTTTAGTCAAACATGCTACATTTAAAAGATGAAACCCATCAAAGCAGGGCTTAATGACCAAACTAGCCCTAGCCCTAAATACCAAAGTTGTTCATGATGATATCCTAAGCATGTTTAAGCAATTTGTAAGGTCATTCAATTATTTTATGTAGTAGTCACTCATAGGGTTATTTAAATTAATCACATGAAATATGCCTTAAAGGCTTGATTATGAAAAATGACATTCATGATCCATGTTCTAATGGTGAACCTAAGCATTGCCAAACATTTTGGTGACTCAAATCTACCAAGTACATGTTTACATTCATGACCATTTGCATATGTACAAGGAAACATGCAATAACAAGCAACGTTTCATATGTTTCGATCACATGTTTCAATTGTAAATGATGATTTATGAATGCTTGATGCTCATGCTAATGTTATGCAAGTCAAGTTATGCAAGGCTAACACCCGAGGTGTTACATATAGTCTCGAGGTATTCTTGGCCTCCAACAGTGTTCGCCTAAACGGATTAAACGGTCCGTAAACGGTAAACGGTGGTAAACTGTTTTATTTAGGGGGTAAACGAAAATTAAACGGTTGACCGTTTAAACGATCAAAAAACGGTCTAAACGGCCTAAACGGAATGGAGATAAATAGCATTGAACGGGCTAAACAACTGTTTAAACGGCTGTTTAGGAGAACACGAGGTAAATCTAGTTCAGTTTTATATGGATAAATTTGTAAACTTAAGTTTATTATATTTATAAATGTGTACACTTGATATGTTACATGCATAAATATCTATATTTTGTTCTTTTCACATGCATAAATATATATACATACCAAAATAATTGATTTTTACTCGGATAAATATGTATAAATGGTAGAATACTTGATTTTTTACATGCACATATATATAATTATATGTATTTTTTTTAAAGTATAAAACTGTTTAGATCGTTTAACTTCGTTTAAACACCGTGTAAACAGCCTAAACGCTAAACGAAGGGCGACCGTGTAAAGACCATTTACCGTTTAGAAAAACATTGTCTCCAATACACGACAAACAGCGCACCCGCTACTGTGGAGCCCGCAACGCTGAGACTAAACGGGTGTGTTTGATTTCTAGGCTAACTTTTACCTAGCTAGAATCGTAGCCTGGGCAGCCTTAGCCTACTCCCATCAAGGCAGCCCATGGTTGTTTGGTTGTTTGTACTACGTTAGCTTGGCTTGTCCTAGGGTGTGTTTGGTTGCCTGATTTGTTTTGATACAGTCACCTCTTCTTTTAATTGGTAAGATTACCTCTTTGAGGCATTTTGTCGAACAAGTGATAGGCATCCTCGACGAGCACTGCACGGCCGCCGCTGCCGCCGCTAGCAGCAGCAGCTTCCCTCAACCTCTTCCCCGCCGGTGCCGTCTCCATACCCATCCCGACACCATGATTCTCCACATCCCACCCCGTCCTCCCTCCCTCCCTCTCCTGCTTCATTTGGTCTAGGATAGAGAGCACGCAGGACCACAATTCGAGCGCTGCTGCTCGACGATGGGAACGGCATCCGGAGCGCCTCCTTTGCAGGCGAGCGAACCACAGATGAGGGAGCTTGTGGTCTAGGATGGAGAGCACGACAGTGGGCGCGCTTTAGGGCTGTGGCCTCCTGTTCCTCGGCCGCAAGGACCGCCTCCACATCAAGGTCGGCAAGCTCTGAATTTGCGAGGCCAGCGAGGTGCCCATGCCGTGCTCACGCTGGAGACGTGCCCAGGAAGGAGAGGCAAGCACTAGGCTCCGACGATGACGTGCCTAGGAAGGAGAGGTGAGCACCGCCACCGTCACGACAGCGAGCACGACGAACGCCACGGCGAGCACCAGGTGGGGAGGAGCACAGGAGGATTACTCGTGGGGAGGAGCACCGGTGGGGAGGAAGAGCATCATGGTTGGACGAGATCGAGGCCAAGGTCGAAGGGAACAACGAGGCAGCGTGGTGAACTCACAACTAGAGGTGAGGAGAACATGGACTGGAGCCTGGCCAAGCGAGGCTCTAGGAGAACGACCGATTCGAACGTTCAATCTTGGCCTGGCTAAAGGGGTACGAATGCCAGCCCTAACCAGACCCTAGCCTATTTACAGACAACCAAACAAGTTAGACTTGGCTCTAGAGAGCCAGACTAAACGTTCGATAGGAAAAGAAACGACTCTAAATGTTATATACGAGACCATCTAACCAAAACACACCCAACGTCCCTCCCCACATACGGACAGACAGCAGAGGGCTGCACGCCTCCGCTCACGTGCGGGACCAGATCACGAACGCATAGGCCTGGGCGTTCGGTTCTATCGAACCAAACCGTTCGGTTCTTCGGTTTTTCAGGAAGTTCGGTTCTCAGGAAATTTGGTACTGATCGGTTCTTCAAAAAACTCGTTACCGACCAAGTTCGATTTCGGTTAGTTTAGTTCGGTTTTTGTTCCAATCGAACTAATCGACCAATTATTAAACATGTTACATCAGAAAAATTCAGCAGCATTTTGGTTGTTTTCAAGGCATAAATGACATGGCAACATATGCAAATCAATAAGTCACAACCAAATAACCACAACCAACACATCAGCACATTTACAAATCACAAGTTCACAACCTAATTACTGATCTCTTGGTACAAATTTACAAGTTTCTCCCATCGGTTTCGGTTCTTCGGTTATTTCGGTTAACCGAGGGGAGGAACCGATTTAAGCGAACAAAATTCGGTTCCTAAGAACTGAGAATCAAACAGGTAACTGAAATTTCAGTTCTCGGTTAGTTCGATTCGGTTCTCGGTAAAATTTGCCTGGGTTACGAATGCAAACCGCCCACGCCCCCTACGTGGGCCAACGTACTGCGGTCCCCGCTTGTCAGAGAGCACTTAGCAGCCTGCCCGCACGTACGAGGTGTCGACCCCGTCCCGCCTCCTCCTCGTCTAACATTAGAGCATCTCCAAGAGTTTGCTATCTCAACTTGGTATCCATATAATTTTGGCAAAACAAGAAAAAATAGCCTCCAACAGTTTAGCAAAACAACTTGGCATCAATAGCAATTTGGCAAATCTTCCCTCCGCGCGCGTATACGGCTTGGCATCCGGGGCTCTTCGTTTCTTAGCGGGGCTCTTCGTTCGCTTAGCGGGGCTCTTCATTCGCTTAGCGGGTTTTTTTTATTTTACCAAGTTAAAAATACCAAACTCTTTGGGATGGATTGCTTTTTTACTTGGCATATAATTTTGGGACTTGCTAAGTAAAATTTGACAAACTCTTGGAGATGCTCTTGTTACGGCAAACGCATATATTTTTGACAATTTCCAAATAATTTACCGTATTCTTTTCGTTCCATTTCCAACTTCATTTCTTTCTTGGTTTCTTCCTCCCTCTCTCCTCTCCCTCCTACCGAATTAAGGGATCCCCCGAATTAAAACGCTCGACCTGCCAAGCCGTACCGAACCCTAGGTCCCGATCCGGCGTCTCGCCCGTGCTGCTTGGATTTGATCGGGCAGGGGTGTTGGATCGAATCGGCGGCGGGATGACGATCCCGAGCGTGGAGGGGTTCCTCCAGGCGTCGAGCTGCCTCCCGTGCACGGCGACTGAGGAGCGGGAGATCGTTGACGCACTCACCAGGGAGGCCGAGAAGAATGTCAAGCACGGGGATCTCCGCTATCTCGTCTCGCAGAGGTCGGTGCCTTCCGATTTCCCCGTTACTTTCCCCCGTAAATTGGCTGCACTTTTCCGCGCTGAGTCGGCTCTCGGTTCCGGGAGCTCCAGTGCCTGCCGTGTGTATCATGTGGAGGGAAGCGATTTAGGGTTTCAGTTAGAAGGGTGGAATCCTAGATGTACAATTTTGTCGGAGACACGGGTTCCTGGTTGATTGAATCTAGGGCTATTTGGGGATGCTGGTGTTAGGTGGCCAAAAATTATCTAATCTCACCATACTATTTGGGGCGTTTGGGTGATGATTGATGGTTATCTGAGGCAACATTCTTCTGCACATTGGTTATATGTTTTGATGTTTACTTTACTAATTGTTCAATCAGAAATATGGAGATATCTAGGGATCAGAATCTGCATTCATTCGAGGAACTAAACTATAAATAAATTGATAAGAGTTGTTAATTGTTTGGACTATTCTTATTTGGTATTGTAGGGAGTATATGTTAGAAATGGGAAGGATATCCTAGATTGACTCATGTTCCCATCTGAGTTGATCTAATATGGGATATGGTTATGATGACATGGAGATACAACATTTCCTGAAAACCATGATGGACCTGTAAACTGAAGTGTTGGGGGTGTGTAGATTTGCACCACTCTCTAATACATATATGAAATGATTAAGTTCCCAAAACTCAGTGAACATTGCGATACCCACATCCTAATTCCTTACCGCTATATTGAACTTTAGAGTGTAATAGCCTTTCTTCTTAATATAATGAAGTACAGCTCTCCTGTGTTTTTGAGAGAAAAAAGAGTGTAACAGCCTAACAGGTACTTTCAATCGTGTTTGAAATTGCCACCTACTGGCTTTAGTACTTCTTTGTCTTACAATTTTACGAAGGTTGTCATCAAACTATGGAGAACCCATCAACCCTTCTAAAATTCTTGCAAAAGATATGGCTGTGTTGTCCAAAAGGATTTCTTGTTGCAACTGTCATATCTTCATTACACTTCCGTGTTGTCATTTCCTTTTGAAGTTGTAATGTTTAAAGTCATCCAATTTTGGTTTAAAATTATTCTGTGCATTGAAGTTCACAGTACTGTTACTGAATTACATCCTGCATAAATGGTGCAGCTGGTGGATGGAGTGGCAAGGTTATGTGGGCTTAGTCAGTTATGGAGAGAATGGCACCGAGCAGTTTCCTCAGGCTACGAATAGACCTGGAGAGATTGATAACTCGAAGCTTGTTTTGGCAGAAATGATCAATGGTAGTGAAGAGCCAGAGCTTCAAAGGACCTTGAGAGAAGGGGAGCACTATACTTTGGTGCCGCAAGAAGTTTGGCAAAGGCTATATGAATGGTATCTAACGCTATTTGTGTTTGCTTATTTTTGATAGCTCTAGTTCCAGAAACTGTACCCAAAAGTGGAAAATTGCTACACAAATACTACTAGTGACCTGTTCTCTTATCAATTAGATTTCCCCGGCAAATTGATGGCATTTTGTCTATAACCCTGAGTCTCTGATGTGGTAGCTGAACTATAACATGAGTTAACACCAGGATATTTTTTCCCTTGATTATGTCTGTTTCATTCATTTATTTGGCATGATTACAACTCAATGATTGTGTTAACCTGTGATGCCTAGTGTGTTTTTAGAACATTTTCTGTTATTATGTTAGCTAATCCTATGGGCCCCAAAACCGTGCTCGATGTTATGCAAATTTTCTTTTCTATGAATGCTCTTATTGTGAGTTCATATTTTGTGTGGATCTGTTAGGACTTAGTTGTGCTATCTAATATTACATTAGATGTAACTTTCTGATGGACTACCATCCAGTCACTCATGTGACATATTTGGTTTTTGCGTGGTAGAGACCTTGAGTATGACCTTCTTGTGTTGTCTTTGGTATCATATACTCATTGAACATGTCAATACTTGCAGGTATAAAGGTGGGCCAGAAATCCCTAGAAAAGTTATTTTTGACAATCCAACTGACAAGACTTACATAGTGGATGTCTACCCTCTCTGTCTAAAACTAATTGATGGAAGGGACAGTTCTGAAAAAGTTTTCAGAATAAGTAGAAAGGTAAAATGGCACTACTTAATTTCTTTACTTGATACTGACATAAAATTATTCACCTAATAATGAAACTATTCTAATATATTTTCAATTTACGATGCATGGCCAGGTAAATTAAATCAATGCTACCATTAGTCACATTGCTACAGTCACATACAGTACCAAATGCCAAAGGACTCTAGCCCAAGTGGTTAGGGAATTCCAGCGGCACCCCTCAGGTCCTGAGTTCGACTCCCTGTGGGAGTGAATTTCAGGCTGGGGGTAAAAAAATCCCCTCGCCCGTCTCCATAAGCCAAAACGCAGAATGGCCTGGCCCGGTTCTCACAGGGCAACGGATTCCGCTGCGTCAGGATGGGGGCGGGGGTTCAGGGGTTTTCTCGATCTGTGTGAGAAGATCATCCTTCTTTAAAAATGCCTGGGGACTGTCATACCCCCCGCAGGTCGAGTTATTTTTTTAACATACAGTACCAAATTGCTTATTTGTTGTCATCAGTTTTTGTTCAGTTGAACTCTAGTTTTGGATAGCAAATTGATAAATGTCTCAAGCTTTACATAGCATGGCCTCGACTAGCATGGATGGGTTTTACAGTTAGTCTCATAATCAACATGGAAATATGCTGATCGTTAATTGATTGAGTAATACTGCACATAATAATAAAGTAAATTTCTCTGAGCTACTTTTCTTAGTACTCTCTGCTCCAAAATCTAGGTCATTTTGGCTTTTCTTGGTACATAGATCTATGTACCTAGAAAAGCCAAAACGACTTAAAATTTGAGACGGAGTGAGTATTTTTTGTTGAAATTCCCAAGTTCAATTACCTCCATACTAGACAAATTTATTTGTTCTGCAACTGATTTATTTGTATTATATGTTTGTTGATGCTTTCAGGCCAAAGTTCATGAGCTTTACTCAATGGTTTGCTCACTCATGTCAGTAGAGCAGTCCGAGGTATAAGCTTTGTCATCTGTTGTATTTGACACGTTGTGCCATTTATCAGTAAAGGTCATGCTTTATAGTTACTAGTATTTTCCCATTTTGGTTTAATGTTTCAGATTGTCATCTGGGATTATTACCAAAGGTCAAAGGGCAAGAAGTTGTTTAATCAAAATGAGACACTAGAAGAAGCTCAACTTACTATGGACCAGGAGGTATTATGCTGTCTTTACTTTTTTTCACAGGTCTTAAATTATTTAATGTTCTCTTTGAAATCTTTAACAAGACATTTGATTGTTGCTTGTTTTGTTGTTACTATTGCTTGCATCTTTTTCTTGTGCGGTCTGTTTTACATGCCATCAGTTCTTTGGTACCAGATTGTAAAATTCAACAGTACAGATTGTTGCAATCCCACAATGTGCTTCCTCCCAGCTTGGGGCTTTATCTTCTTGGGTTACTCTTTGCCTCAAGTGATTAAACTCATCAACTACACCAACCACGTTTCTGACCTCAAACCTTTTTCTACGATCTGTTGAGTTGTCTCTTGCTAAGATACATGTCCGCCATTCACTAAGGGTTTGATTGGTTGCTTGCATTAGCCTTAGCCTGCATTAGACCTTATGCAGCATAACCTAAGCTAGCGTAAACGTATGCAGTGTCTTGGTGTTTGGTTGTTCGCACAGGCTACCCACATTTGATAAAATTGTGTTTGATTGTTTACATTTTGTTGCATGTAGTCACCTCCATGTTGAAGGGCGGGCCTGGGGCAAGCGGTAGAGTCTTACCGCCTGTGACCGGAAGGTCCCGGGTTCGAGTCGCGGTCTCCTCGCATTGCATAGGCGAGGGTAAGGCTTGCCACTGACACCCTTCCCCAGACCCCGCACAGAGCGGGAGCTCGCTGCACTGGGTACGCCCCTTTTTTTAGTCACCTCCATGTTCTAGTTGAGGTCTTATGTTTCTAGCAGAGGTATGGGGTGTTTGGTTGTCTACGTTTTGTTGCATGTAGTCACCTCCACGTTCTAGTTGAGGTCTCATGTTTGTAACAGGGGTATGTGGGATGAGAATATTTCATTTTTGTGTGTGCATTGGCTTGTGCAAACCTGCATTGTCTAATACGACCAAGTTTGGCGTACTAGCTAATCCAACATTGAGCCTGCTTTGAGCACTGTGCAAGCCTGCATAGGCAATCAAACACAAGCAAACTGCATTGCACAAGCCTGGATACAGGTTAATACAGGCAACCAATTAGGCCCTACAAAACTGTTGACCACCCTTCAGTTCTCTATTTCTTCGTTGAGAAGCTCAGCATTGAGGGGATTTGGCATGTTTCGTTCATGGCTAATATTGCTATACTAATAATTCATGCCATTGAGACACTGGTTTGGTTGTTTGACAAACTTTGTCATTGTTCGCCTCTTTGTTATAGGTATAAACTTGTGCCTAACTTTGCCTAAGTTGTCATCTTTGACACCACGAAAAGTTTGTCAAGCACCTGTAGTAGCATAAGGCGTGAGCCAAACAGGATCTGAACAATTAAAAATCTATTCTTTTCTTATGTTGCTTGGCATTTGCTTTGTACAATCATCTCATTGTTATGTCTTGGGTGATAAAGTTGACTCTTAGTCTTTAATATAATTATGCTTTTGGGTGATGTGTCGTACTTCCGTGTACTTGTTGTGATAGCTATTGAATTTTGTTGTGCTGTAAGCCTGTAACCAGAATGAACTTATGCTGGATGCATCCCACCAAAATAAAATTGTGCTCGATGCAAACCAGCTGGTCTATTTGTGGCACTAATGCTAGTGCCTTCCCAAAAGTATTCGATTTTTATCCATTTAGATGGTGATTGTTAAGTTCTAGCTATTTTCTAGCTTTGCAATAACTATTCTTTCTTGCCTTATGCTTGCAGATCCTCTTGGAGATGAAGCTAGGCGAGAGCAGTTCAGGTTTCAGTACAAGATCCACAAATGATGAATTGGCATTAATTCCATTAGAACCCTCCACATCATCATTTTCTATTGCTGGAGGGCCTACATTTTCAAATGGTTTTTCATCTGGGATTGGTTCTAGTTTTTCGCAAGATAATAGCTTCAGTCCTTTATTAAGGGATAGTGAAGATGGTTACAATAGTCTCAGCAATGGAACTAAAGATGGCACTCATGGATTTAGTGGATTACATAACTTGGGTAATACTTGCTTCATGAATAGTGCCATACAATCCTTGGTTCATACACCTCCACTGGTACAGTACTTTTTGGAGGACTATACTTGTGAAATAAACACGGAAAATCCACTAGGCCTCCAGGTATAGGTTCATTCTTATCCTGTACTTGACTAGAGAAAGCTAACTTACATGAAGTTTTTACTGATTTTTGAGGATTTTCTAACATGCAGGGTGAACTTGCGATAGCATTTGGAGAGCTACTTAGAAAACTCTGGTCATCTGGTCAAACTTCTATTGCTCCACGTGCATTTAAATCAAAACTTTCTCGTTTTGCTCCACAGTTCAGTGGATATAATCAGCATGATTCTCAGGTTGGTCTTATTTTAAACAGGAATTGACCTCAACTCAGAGGATACATATTAAATTGTTTTGGGTTCATGTATGGGATTGGTGCATTAAGTTGGAACTTTTGTTTAACTGACACATTGCTGCTTGCTATAGATATCAGAAATCTTCTGCTACTTTTGAACAAAATGCATCCACTTTCATTATTACAAAGCCCTTTTGGCCATAGATGCTAGAATGCTTTTCTGAATAATTTGCCATCGCTTCCAGTTCTCTTTCTGAAACATTGACCACCTTAGTTCCAGAGCTCTCCAAATCTCTTGTACTGTATTCTCCTCAATTCCCTGTTTCTGTCCTATCCCATTGCATTCCAACACTTCCTTGATTTCTTTATAGGTAAGTGGCATTGCTTGCTGATATACATCTCTTAAGCAACCCCTTCTTTATGATAGTCGCTCTTTAGTTGTTCAACTTTGATTTGTTTGTTTTAGGCTTTCAGATTATGATACTTTGTTTTACTGCTCATTCTTGGACTTGTGTTGCAACTTTGCATTGTATTTAGGCACCATGTATCATTCCTTTTCAGAACAGTGGTTCTTTTGTTTAACTGTTACTCTATCTGAATGTATTTGTAAAGTTCTCCATTTATGTGAATATCAATTTTTTGGGTTTGTGATGCCACTTTATTTAATTTGCCCCTCAACACAATAATACCCTTCCTTTCCTACAGGAGCTACTTGCGTTCCTGTTGGATGGTCTGCATGAAGATCTGAACCGTGTAAAAAAGAAACCATATATTGAGGCAAAGGATGCTGATGGCCGTCCAGATGATGAATTTGCTGAAGAATGCTGGAATTACCATAAAGCTCGAAATGACTCCATAATTGTAGATAAGTTTCAAGTAAGTAAAATTTGTAACATGGTGTTTGTTTCCTACTTTATGGAAAATATTTTAGATTAAACTGAGTTGATCTTCAGGTTATCTTCTTTGCTACTTGTTACACCCTATTATTTGTTATTCCACTTGAGAGTTGCACTTCTCAATTTGCTATTGTTTTCCTAGTTCAGATTTCTCTTTTGCAATTGTTGTTCTGCCATGTACCATTTGGCCATTAAGAAAACCTGAAAGTTGAGAAAATAATCAAGTCAAGAAAGAAAATTAGAATAGAAAAAAGAGTGACCCTTAAGGAAGCTGAGATAACTCAGTTGATTGAGGGTTTGGATGTATGACCAGACCACCCAGGTTCAAGTCCTCCTTGAGGCAAATTTAAAATGCCACCTAGCTCCTCGTAGGTTAGTTTGGTTTTTCTTTGAACATATAAGTTTCTGGATTGAAACTCCAAAAAAATTATGCACTGGGGAATTGATGCTAGAGTGTATGAAGATTAAGCTGTTCTATTTAAAAAATTTTAATCGAGATCAAGGGCGAGTATTGAAACCGTGTTCATTTTCTTATTTTTCTGTTTATTGATGTATTGGTGTTGTCTTGATGTTTATAAACTGAGAAGTGGGTATTGCTACCATTCTTTTGGAAAATAACACTGGCTATTGTACGTCTAAATTTCACCAAAGAAGCCTAAAGTGTTCTGTATTCTTTGGCTCAAACTTTTGCAATTAAAACTATCAATTTGATAATCTGGCCTATATTCAATTATAATTCTACCTGTGTTCTGTGTAAAGCGTGCTTTAATCTATCGGTTTGTTGGTTCATGTTGCAGGGTCAATACAAGTCCACATTGGTGTGCCCAGTTTGTAACAAAATCTCCGTTACCTTTGACCCATTTATGTATTTGTCGCTGCCATTGCCATCAACAGTTACTCGGATGATTACTGTAACTGTATTCAGTGGTACTGGAGATGTTCTTCCAATGCCTTACACTGTGACTGTACAGAAAAATGGAAACTGCCGAGATCTTACTAAAGCCCTTGCTGATGTTTGCTGCTTAAAAGATTCTGAGACATTGTTGCTTGCAGAGGTACAAACATGGATCTGCCTTTCTTGTGCAGTTAATCGTATAGTCTCATGCTTTTGCAGCAAACAACTTAGCAGCTGATACTTCTATTCTTTAGGTATATGAGCGTCGGATCTACCGTTACCTAACAAATCCAATTGAGGGACTTCATAGTATAAAAGATGAAGATATACTTGTTGCATATAGGCTCCCTGTTGGTCATGAAAGACTTTTGAGGTTGGAGATCCTGCATCGGAGGCCAGACAGGTGAGCTGGTGATACTGCATCTTAGTATCTTAGTATATACAGAGATGTAAGGAACACATGATATTTCTGTGTGTTAGGGAATGTTTGAAACCCTTGCTGGCCCTTGCCTTGCCTAGCCGGGCGAGAAATTGGCCTGCTGCTAGCGTTTAGTTTTCTTGCTTATCTCCTCGGGGCTCATGATTTCAAGGTTTCTCCACGCCAGGCCTAGCGAGCCAAATTGCTCTCCACCGTTGGCAAGGCTGGCAACGGGTGAGGCGAATGTTCCTAACATGCCTGCAGTCATGGTCTATGCCTCTATGGTCTATTGTATGTTAAAAACCCTATATATGGGTGGTAGTTTCTCCTTTATGTTCTGTTTATTCGTTTCAGTTTTTTTTCCTGCGATTGATGACTACCAATTTAATTCATCGAAAGAACCAGATGATTATAATTTATCTTGTGTTTTGTGCCATGTTGTTTGATGGTTGTTATTAGTTTCCAAATTTGTTCTAAGTGCTGATAAGCTTTTGATACTTAACCCAGATTTCTTGTGGAGCCTCAGTTTAATATCAATAGGAAGCTCATTGGGTGCCCCATTGTGACTTGTATTCCAAATGGTTCTACTGGAAAATCTGATATTTATGCGGCTGTATCTGCTGTTTTGGTTCCATTTTTACGAGCAAAAGCACATAGCCCTGATGTGTCTGCTGTCAAGTTAAATGGCAATGGGCCAAGCCTGGATGGTATTGTACTGACGGATAATGGCACCACCTGTGAGGAGGGTCTCTCTACATCAAGATCAAGTGAGGATGATAATGCAGCTGATGATGAGCTTTTACCGTTTCTGCTTTCATTGACTGATGAAAAAGGTAGTACAAGAAATGCTATAGACACGGATTCTAATCGTGTTTTAGGACTAGTTATTAGGGTTTTGATGGATTGGTCTGAGAAAGAGAATGGGATGTACAATATTGATTACATGGATGGACTTCCTGAAGTCTTCAAGCCTGGTTTTATGTCAAAGAAGACCCGGCAAGAAGCAGTCAATTTATTTTCATGCTTGGATGCTTTTCTGAAGGAGGAACCCCTAGGGCCTGACGATATGTGGTTAGTAATTTTCTGGCTCTGTTAACTGAGATACTTTTGCAAACTGCTCTCTATCTGAAATGAACCTTTTGTTGGTTTCTGATAGTTCTTTATTGTTGTCATGCCTGTCTAAACAGGTACTGTCCTGGATGCAAGGAACACAGGCAAGCTAGCAAGAAACTGGACTTGTGGAGGTTGCCTGAGATATTGGTAGTTCATTTGAAAAGGTTCTCATACAGCCGGTATATGAAGAACAAGCTTGATACATTTGTGAATTTTCCAATCCATGACCTCAATATGAGCAAGTATGTGAAGCTGACATCAAGAAGTGACCAGCTCCCCATGTATGAACTCTATGCAGTGATAAATCATTATGGCGGTCTCGGTGGTGGACACTATTCTGCATACGCAAAGGTACCTGCATTTTTGTCACTGTTAAATTATGTATGTATATGTATATATGTTTGCATTGTTGTATGTGTGTTTGCTAGCTTCCTGAACTCTGCTGTCACTCGCAGCTAGTAGAAGAGGACAACTGGTATCATTTTGATGATAGTCATGTTTCCTCGGTTAACGAGGATGAGATCAGGACATCTGCAGCATATGTGCTTTTCTACCGACGAGTTGGAGGTTCAAGTACGGTGGCAAATGGTGGTCCAGTCGACATTGAAATGGTTGATTCACTAGAGACCTAGGAGTATATCATGTGGACCGAGATATGGAGAGCTCAGAAGAGTTCTGGAATTTGCCTGTCTTTTCTGGGACGGAATATTCGTGTATCGAGCCACTGATATTTTGAGGCATGGTAGAGAAGTGAGGTCGAATTGGCAATGTTAGCATATGCATATGCATATCATATGACTCGAGTTCCTGATATTCTGTGACCAACCCTTTTGAGTAGAACTGATCCTGACAGGTAATTGAGAAAATGACCTGATTTGAAAATTTTGCTGATAGGCAGATGCAGCTCTTGGTATTGTTATTGGTGTGGAAGGTCTGCTGTAGCCAAGGGATTGCAACTGGAAAAAATGATGTAAAAATGCTGCATATTCTTTTTGCCTAGGCTACAGCTGTGCTACAGCAAGTTTTGATTACTGTTGCCTTTTGTTATAAAATTCTCTATCATCAGTACTTGCTGAGCCTTAGTGTGATTCTGCGAGCAATCAATTCTCTCATGCGCTACAGGCATGTTTGGTCTTTTTATTCCCGCAACCTTTGAATACAGCTTAGTATCTGAACACATTCACACCACTCACTAGATCGACAACCTTATCTAGGTCTACGAGCAGACGGCTCACTATGTTTGGCTTGTTGAAATTTGACTGATGCTGTTGATTTGTTGTGAGTGAAAACATTGTTCATTAGTTGAAAGTACTGCTCATTCATTGTGGCTTATCTGTCAGTCTACCATATTTTAGTTAGCTTTTCATTATTAATATATGGTCCGCTTATCTCTCACAAAGTTTTCAGTTCTTGTGTCTAAGTCGGCTACAAGCTTATATCTTGCTTCTCTCTTTCCTCTCCTCTCTCCCCTTAGCATTTAGCCTAGGTTATTATACTTGCTCTAAGAGATTTTTTTTCTTTTTCCTTTAGAGTTTTTTAATATACTATAAAAATATTTATGTGCATTATACATCAAACACATGGGTATTTATTGTTCAACGAGAAGACCTATTCAGTTGCTGGCTTCGATCAATTGATCATGGGAGGTTCTTGCGCTTATTCTCGGTAGGAGATTCGTAAAAAGCAACTCTAGTGGAATTGTTGCTTGTTGGAGTGCCTCTCTAGCGTGGTTCTTATGACGTCCTTGTGTGGGTTTGGAGAACTTTGCCATCTTTCATGGCTGCAAAATTACAGGCCTCACTCTAGAGAAGCTGAATTGAGAAAAGTGGGTCTATGAAGACTTTCCTAAAAAATCACTTATAAGCCACGAAGCAGCATTTGTTTTAGTGAAATCTTGCAATTTTGTTGAACATGTTTAGCGTCGGGCATTTAACCGTCACTAGAAAAGTATTTCTTGGGGCAATACGGCTGTGGTCTATCATCCAGCATCCTAGAAGAACCGGCATGAACTCATGACTGGCCGCTGCTCCAGGAGCACTCGCCGCATGAGCTACGTCTCAGTCCTGACATAGTTTGGTTTTGGTCCAACGTTAGCCAAGCCAAAATCGGTTTTGGGCCAACGTTAACGTTAGAGCATCTCCAAGAGAAGGCTAATAATACCTCCAAAACTGAAATTTGCGTGTTGAGGAGAAAAAACACTGCTCCAACAAGCTCCCCAAACCTTCCCCGAGATTTGCTCGCTATGAAAAATTCAGCCCGCGCCCCTCATGTGCAAATCGACGGCACGCCCCCAATCTTCTCCCGTGCTTCTCTTCCCGCGCTCGTGCTCCATTTTGGCAGAGAATTCTTGCGCTCCTCCTCCCATCCACGCCATTCTGCTAGCAGTTTTCACGCCCTCCGTCCTAGCATCGGCATAGAGAGGTGCTGCGCGTCCTGACAATTTGGCCGCGAGCACCTTCAGATGCGTCCGCCATGACCTGCTGCCGCCGCCCCGGGGCATGCTGTGCGCGGCGGCGTACAAAAGCGGGTTGTGGCCCCATCGGCCGGTGGTCGCAACCCCAAGGCCGGAGGAGGTCGATTTCTGCCGGGATTTGGTTGCAACGACATCGATCTGACCGATGGCACCCACAACTGGAGTGAACAACAACGTCGAGGTCCAGCCCGTGATGGCTATTGTGGCAGATCCCGTCAGGGCAGCTGCGGTCTTCCTCGGCCTGCGACATATGCCGGCGATGCTTCAGATCCCCAGGCTCCAATGGTGTTTTCCTTCCCTGACAACACCTCTGAGGCCTTGGAAGATGTGGATGATGTTGACATGTTTTGCAGTGGTAAGAATCTAATCCATTCTGATTGAAATAACGGATGGCACCAGATGCTTGTTCAACTACATGCATTTTCGATGTGGTTTTTGAAAATATCTCAAATGTGGTTTATTTGATGCCAACATAATCTACACACGTGGCTTCAGAAAGATCTTCTAATTGCTCCAAGTGTTACTGAGGATCCTGTCTTGTTATATGTACAACATGTGTTTTAGGAATTTTATCTTTGCAATGGGTGATATTCTGATAAGTCTAATATGTCTTCTGTAGAAAACCCTGAACTTTTTAGTAACTGAATGTGTGTTTGGGTATCAGCATATCAGTGGCACTATAGTTTACATAGTATCTGATAGTACAATTCAGTTACCTGTGATCATGATTTAACTTATTTTCTTGCAAGTTGCGTCTTTTGTTGTGATAATGTTTGGGTTTTTGTTATTTTTGAAGCTGGCTTGTCAATTGTTGTCTATCATATACCTAATATCAGTCCATCATTATTTGCTTTGTCCATCCTGGTTAAGAGGGCAATGGCAAGTGTCCCTGTAGTACAATTGCATTTTGTGCTAAAGGAAGATTATTTCTAAAAGCATGAGTGCACTCCACTTGAAGAAATGCCAACGCTTAGTACCTTGAAAAAAATCTGAGTTTCTATTCATTTTGGAGGGAAGTAGTTCAATGTTTTGGTTTCATTATGGGGGTAGGCATTTTGATATACCAGCTTGATGATTATGTTGTTTGCATTAAGAATGGAGATCTAAATGCAGTTACTCTGGTGCTGCTGCTAGTACTACTACTGCTTTCTCTGGTGCTGCTGATGGTCCTACTACTGCCTTCTCAGCCACCGTCATCATTGTCTGTCCCTGTCCCTGTTTGTCTCCCTCTCTGGCTGCTTGCTTGATGCCTGCCTCGTGTAGATGTGTGTGTGATATTCTGTGAACCAAGTTGGCTTAAGTGTAGATGTAAAAATAATATCTCTAATTCTCTATATAAAGTTGGTGTTTTTAATTTTTTAATAGGATCTATGGCGGCAAACGGTAATTATTATACCAGCATGGTGAGTGAAGGCACTCATCCAGTGGATTTTGAAGACTTTAGCAACCCTTGTAACGAGCAACAATCACAGGAAGTGCTAGTGACTCCATCGGCCTCCTCTGCAAGACCAAATCACAAGAGATCAAAGAATTTCAGTGAGACGGAAGATGAGATTTTAGTTTCTGCGTGGCTGAATGTGAGCTTGGATCCAATCACAGGAGCAAATCAAACACATAAATCGTATTGGACTAGAATTCATGATTACTTCCATGAAAACTTGCCCTTCCCCTCAGACCGTACGTAAAATTCTCTTATGCACCGTTGGTCTACTATACAAGACAGTGTGAATAAGTTTACAGGATGTCTCTCCAGGATTGCGGGTAGACAACAAAGTGGTGCTACAATGCAAGATAAGGTTCTAACCAGCTATGTATAAGCATATGTTTATTCTCTCTAATGCATAAATTACAATTTAATGACTTTTCGATACATGGGTGTTGCATGTGTGCAGATTGAGGACGCAAAGGCTATGTACAAGTCTGAAGACAGGCAAAAGAGATCATTTCAGTTTATGGATTGCTAGAAACAATTGAGAGGACAAGCAAAATGGATGGCTAAACTAGACGAACTGGCTGGGAAGTCATCTAATAAGAAGGAAAAGAAAACCTCCAATTCGAGTCTGCCTACACCTTCGCTCACTACTGCAGATGGACATGAAGTTGCTGCTCCAGAGGAGAATACATTGTCGAGACCAATGGGCCACAAGAAGGCCAAAGAGGTACTACATCAAGGTGGCAAAAAAGGTTGTATAGAAGCTTTAGAGAATTTGTGGGCGAAGAAGAAAGAATTTGATAGTGACAAGAAGCTAAAGAAAGACGAAAGGTTCAAACAAGCTTTTGCACTTGAACAAGAGCGGGTTACGAATGAGAAATTAAATCTTGAGTTGAGGAAGAAAGAGTTAGAAATGAGGGTGCATGAGGTAGAGTTGAAGAACAAGAAGGACGAAGAGAGGATTATGACAAGGGACCTTAGTGCCATGCCTGATGATCAGTAGCAGTACTACATGTCCTGCCAGTCTAAGATCATGAGCCGTCACTTCAGTAGCTAAAGATTTTAATTTCAGTTTCTTTTCATGTTTGAATCAAACCTTGCATTGTACAACATACAAACCTTGCATTGTACAGCATACATATGTAAGTGTCAGAACTATGTGCTTTCTATCAGCATACATGTGTAAGTTCAGAACTATGTGCACAAAAATATATGATCCAAATATGATTCAGGCTTCTGTGAATCTTAAATATTCCCAATAATATATATGAATCAAATATGACAACAATAAATGAAGGAAAATATGACAAAGCGTAATTACAAAAATTATGTCCACAATAATTTTGTAATTAAAATTGTTCTACAAAACAGTAAACTAAAACCATATATAGAAAAACAATTATATTTGTTTATATAGGTCCGGATGATTTTGCCAAAGGTGCTCAACTAGATCATCTTTAAGCTGCGTATGAATTTGTTGATCCTTAATATTCTTGTAGTTCTGAATAAACTCCTCAAGTTCAGGTGTAGAGCCATGAGAAATTTTCACATTTTCTCCCACCACATCATAATTGAAATCATCTTCTTCATCTCGCTCATCCTCAATTATCATGTTGTGCATAATAACACAAGCCCTCATGATTAGGCTAAGCGTATCATCATCCCAAAAACGAGCTGGCCCTCGAACAATAGCAAAACAAGCTTGTAGAACTCCAAAGGCTCGTTCA